TCCGAGTCCCCCAAACGCTCGTGAAACCCCTTTTCTATTGTTCATTATTGTTATTATTAACCGTCCCTCCCTCTCCCTCTCTCTCTCTCTCTCTATCACTTTTTCTATCATTTTCTCTATCTATCTCTCTCTCTCTCTCCGTTGCTCAAAGCACTCGACATGGAAGGGTTCGAGAAAAGAAAATCGGGTTAGAATTAAGCGAACGATCGATTATATCTTATTGCTACGTGACTCGACGACGAGAAGTGAACTGGCAACGCGCGCGGAACCGGACGAATTGTCGTTACTATGATCGAAAGTGTGCCTCGTTGAGCTCTCCTCCAAGTGTGAAAAATCGTTACGAGTGGCGGTGACACAATTCCTCCAATTCTTCGAGAACAAGATGGCCATTGAGGCGCCACAGAAAAATGCCAGTTTCCATCCCTGAGGGAGGGGATCTCTCAGCGTGGTCGTTCGAGGTGTCGCCTCGCAGCTGGATCCTTCTCGCCCCGAGCCAACGTGGATTAACGACTTCCTCGTCGCACACAAGTGTGCACACGTGCGCACTCTCTTGGCCGCGCGACCACCGATGGAATTCGAATATCGGAACCGCGATTCAAGCCCGATAATTCCACGCGATCGAAGATACTATTTCTGTATATGGGAGATTCATTGTGTTCGACGATCGCTGTTACGTCTGGCGGATTCAATCCTGATTGACGCCAAGATTACGACGAGTTTGAACTCTGTACAGGAGGTGTGCAAATTTCAACAGACTTTAGAGCTCGAGAAGAATGTTCCATCGTAGAAAATTTTCGAATCAAACGAAACGATCGAAAATTGAAACTCGATTTTTTTTCGACACCGTCTATATTCGTATCGAAGTTTAATGTGGAAGGAAATTTTTCTTGATTATTGGAGTGCAATAAAATCCAAACCTCAACGATTTACGTAGAATTCCAACGTATCGATTCGATTATTAAAATTTTTTTATCTCTCGTAATACACGTAAGCTAGATTACATATCATTAAAATAATAGTTTCGAAAATGTTTCTTATCTATCGATTTCGAATATTCGAATTACACCTCTTCTAACCCAATGTGTGATCGTCAACAAAGCGTCTAAAGCACAAGATAAGGCGGTTTTACCCAAAATTGGATATTAAAAATTTCGAACAAAGTTACTTCGAGTAATAACATATTATATAAAATGCTCGAATAATTTTCGTTACGATCGTTCGCATAACATTATATTTCGTGCAATTTCGACAAACTAAAGTAACTCGAGTTAAATTTTCCTCCATTCCACGGGTCCCAGGACTTCCTTTCGTCAGTGGACTGTGTGTCTGCAACGTCGAACCGCGCCTCGACGAGACAGAGATCCACGAAAGATGGAAGGCAGCTCGTGATGATCGCGGTTCGGGATGCGTTGTACTCGAGGGTTGGTTGCGCTCGAAGAGGACTTAGGTTAGCGAAACTCGCATTATCCAATCGTCGGATGGCGACCTTAAGTCGTGACCGATCCTTCGGTGGGAATCCGCCCTGAGATCGACTCTCATACGCCTCGAGAAGTAGTTTCCACGTATTTCTCTCCTCCCCCTCCTCCTCCCCCTCCTCCTCTCGAGCTTTCTCTCCATCACCGTCTCTCTCTCTCTCTCTCTCTCTC